TTTGAACCGCCAGCCTTCTGGTTAGCAGTCAAGTGCCTTAGGCACTACGCTACCAGAGCTCCCTTAGGTATGCATAGAAAATCACTATGCATATAAAATAGCTGAAAGGAAAATGCTAAAATGTTGTCAATCATCAATTTTCAGAGGTCACAGTATGTGATTTCTCCAATGACTTCATTTTTCTATATTTTCCTAGTTTTCCATAAGGCATATTTATTACCTTTGTAATAGAAACCTTCATCAAAAAGAAGAGATTTCTTAGCTGTCTCTGACCTGGGAATATAAATGTAGCCTGAGGCAGGACCTGCTAGAAAACTATGACAATCCTTCTGTTTGAGAAAGGAGACTCGTCCCTTCAGCGAGGCTTCTCAAACAGGTGGTTGTGCTGTGGTTGGAGAGTGGGGCAGGTGAGGAGAGGGTTAGCGTGGGTTAGGAAACCTGGTTCTCTGGCAAGCAGCACTGTCTGATCTTTAACCATCTATTTCTTTTTTCTGTTCTAACTTAATCAAGATTCACACTGCCATGGCTCCTATCTTGACACTGAGGCCGACCAGGACAAATTCTCTTCAGTGGAAGCAAGATAAGCTTAGAGAGTTCAACTCCACCTCCTGTTGGGAGCTGCTTCACAATTTGCATCACACTAACTCCATTGTCCATGGTGATCCTCAGTAGCTTTGTGAGACCCTGAGTCCCAAGGATGCCAGTCTGCAGGCAACAACTCTGATCTCCTCGGGAATTTCAATCTCCTTCCTTCCAAAGATGCCACAGCAATCACTGCCAATATTAATATTCACCAAGCACGTATGGAACCTGCCCCTGTAGTCATCTCTCCAGATGGCCACGGCGCTACATTTGGCTAGTGCCCAGTCAAGGAGGAGTGCTTCTACTCAAGTTCTGGCTTTCATTTCCAGAGCACTGACTGCCAAATTTGATCAGTGCCCAGTCTGCCTGGGCACAGCAGAAGAGCCTACAGATTGTCACCCAAATCACTGTCATTGCCAACATCACAACCCACAAGGAACAATGGGAGGATGGCACAGCTGGTATGTGGGGTGGTGTCTCCTTCCAGCCACCTTCTGCTACCCTTTCTCAAGATACTTTGTTACACAGAAAACGAATATGCTACTTTACTTCACCAGTTTTGATATGGTGGGGACATGGGCTCTCGAGCTTGCATCAGAAGACTTTAGTTTAAATCCTTGTTCTACTATTTGAGTTGATTTCACTTTCTGAATCTTGGTTTCATAATCTGTAAATTCGAAAGAATAATATCTTTTTACCGGTGTCTTTGGAGTATTAATAACGATGACAGCTAATGTTTGCTGGGGAATTACTCTGAGCCAAGGGCAGCCTCAGGCACGTGACTTGCCTTCTCTCCTTCACTCTTCTCAACCATCCTTGTGGGTAATTAGTTTTCTTTCTTGTTGGACAAGTGAAGTAATGGAGGCCCAGACAGGTTATGTGCTTTTTTTCCCAGGGGTCACAGATACCAAGAGACAGAGAGGAACTCACAGCCCGGTGGGGATGACAGCAGAGCCTGTGATCCCCGCTGTGCTGCTATCCTGCCACTCAGTCTGCTGGACAGCATTCCATGAACCAATGGGAGGTCAGTGGGTTGGTAGAATATAAAGCACTGGAGCAAAAAGGACCGTGTGAACGGGTATTTCCATGTTCATTGCATTCCTAAATTTGGACATACAAGCACAGAAAATACTACCTTTGGGAATGGGTTTCCTTAAAACTGGAATTGATGTAAAGTGAAATGGTTGACTCTTCTTGCCACCTTCTGAACTCTTCTAGCATGAGGTTTCATGCTTCCACAGGCTTGAGCTACCCTAGTAAACCACCAACCAGTTGCTGTTGAGTCAATTCTGACTCAGGATGAGCCTCTGCGGGTTTTTAATGGCTCTGGAAGGACTCAAGTCATCAACCTTCAGTTGGTAGCCGAACACATCAAGCACACGCACCACCCAGGGACTCCACCCCAATTAGGGTTTAAGCTTTCTTTGTACTTTTAGGCCACACACTCTCCATGTAATACATTCCCCAGCATAATGCTGATTTTCATTTCTTTCCATTAAATTTAGACTTTTTTCCTATTTTATCCTCTAATCTGCCATTTTCTGGGCTTGGCAAAAATCCCTGCCATGGTTTGTTCATTCACAGGAATGTGACGTCTCCAGGAGCCAGTGACACCTGCACCCCACTGTCTTTACACAAAGTGAATGTCTTCAGTTCTCCTTTCTCTTCCTAAACTACCTGCAGTGCACCCCGGGACGTGAGACATAGAGTTCGTTGAATGTGCACATGCCTTGAATTAAATAAGAAGGTAACTTCAGGGTAGTTCAAGTTCTTACTGCCCAAGTAGAACAGTAAGAACTAAGCCCTGAGGTGTAAATCCTAAGTCGTTGCTGCTTTGACACCATTTTCTAATGACTGTGAGACAGGCTGCAACTGGACAGTAGCCACGGTTGGCTTAATGAAATTTAGGGAAATGGGCTCATTCATGCAGCTTTGGAAGATGCTTCCATTTTGCACATCACAGTACATAATTTTTTACCATCTTTCAGCGTTGATATCAAAATCTTCTTCATTCTAACCAAGATGCCAAGTCACGGAGTGTGTATGAATCTGGAAGTTCCTCTAATTGCTTGTGAAATGTCATTACCATCTTATCTGATCTCAGTATGGGATGGTCAATGGCATCTCCCTGGCTGGGACTGGAATTTGGGCACTGCACTCCTCTGTGTCTGTGTTGTAGATAAATAGTAATTAAGAGAAGAAAGATGAGACAGAAAGGTGAACCGAGTAGTCATGAATAGCAGATTGCATGGTTGCCACTTAGAATGCCACTTAGGGCCTGTGGGTGTCATCTCACTGTTTTCTTCATGGCTTCTGAGA